TGACGGAATGTGATGGGGGAAAAAGAGAAAAAAAAAAAGGAGGTTTAAGAGCACAGGTAAGGGCAGTTAATCCTGTAGGTGTTAGGAAGATGGCCGGATTCTATTATCTCAGCATGCTGTAAAATCACATTGTACGATTGTACGGGTGGAAGTCTTCATGAAGGACACCCACCGAGTCTTCATAATGGAAGGTTTGAGGAATGAGTAGGATTTGGAAAAATAACTATTGCAAAATTTGTTTAGTACAAAACATAGCATAATGTTTACTGCCAAAGGAGATTAAAGTACTCTAAAATTATTTTTAAAGATAATAGGTTCTAACATACCAGACCCCTACTCTCAGACACTCTCATCAGACTTGAACTTGTTGGGGAAAGAAGTTTCTTTAAAGAGGATAAGAAGGCATCCTTCTAATAGGGTTGGCCAAGGGCTGTGGCCTCACCTAGCACGAGATTGGCCCTGAGATCCCTCCAGACCATGTAGTCAGCAGGAGAGGGGAAAAGAAAGATAGGGGGAGTGGGATAAATAAAACGCTGGGAGCCCTGTCTGAGGGCGGGGCCGGGAGGTAGCCCCTGGTGCTTTGTCTGACCGGAAGAAACGAGGGGTATTTGTAGGGGGTATATGGTTGGGCCGTTTTTTATGTTAAGGGAGAAAGAATGTTAGTAGTAGAGTAGGAGAAGAGGCTGCAGTCTATATTCTTTTCCCTGACGGACAGAGTCTGAGAAGGGCGCTGAGGCCTGCCCTTTCCCTGCCGATAGAGGGAGTCTCGAGATGAAAGGTCCAGCTTTCTTCTAAGGAAAAGCGTTTGCACCGCGGCTCAGACAATTTTGTACATCCTGGGGCTAAGTAAGAGCTGAGGTAATTAAAGGCGAACAACAACAACCTCAACACTTTGAGCCCCAGGTGCGGGCTCGGGCCCGACAGGCCGAATTCTCGCGAGAGCGGCAGCCGCCATTTTTCCATTGATTGCAGAGGGCTGGGGGAGGGGCCGACGACGAAGGCGACGGCGGCGGCGACGGCGGTGGAGCGGTGGGTCGGTGTCTGCGCTCTGGTGTCTGAGGCCCAGGCTGAGGCCTCCGCGATTGCCGGAGCGCAGGGGTGGACAGGATGACTGCCGCTACTATTCTCCCCTGAGGGAGAGAGCTGCCGCCATCCGCCCCTTTCCCCCCGCTAGGGCGGAGAGGAGCGGCCGGAGTTTGAACGATGGGGCCCGGCGAGGAGAACCAACTGGTCCCGAAAGAGGTGAGGGGCCGGCGGAGGAGGCTAGGCCCGAGGCCTGCGGCCGCTCGAGACAGCGCAGGCCCGGCTCGTGTGAGAATTCGGCGGTGGAGGAGGGAGGGAGTATATGGTGAGGAGTATATGGTGAAGGCTGTGTGGTGGGTGCGGCGAGCAGTTGAGACCGAAATGGATGTGAGTGACCGGGGGAACGGAGACCTACCCCCTTAGGTTTGTGGGGCTGGATAAATAAAAATGCAGACTGAAAGGAATTAGATCTTGCTTTGTGGGAGAAGCTGGCTTCAACTCCCCCCCCCCCCATTTATTGAACAAGGGGAGCTTAGGTAGATAATTTTAAGGAAATAATTCTGGAACAGTTGCTGATGGGCACGACAGAGTGACGGTACTGCTTCTGGTTTTGACAGTGGCACTGTATAGTCAAGGCTTGTGAAATCTACACCCGACTTGAGATCTGTGGGAGGGCAGAGTTAACTGTTAAGACTTTTTTTGAACTCCTGTTAGTTGGTAGTACTGTTGGCCTGCAAGCGGAGTCCTCCAAGATCTTTGAAAAGTAGTAAATGTTTTATGTAAAGTTAAGGGATCCATTAACATTACCATATGGCGAGCTGAACTATTTTTTGTAGTTGGGTCGTGTTTGCCAATATAGGTGACTTCTTAAATTCTTAAAAGCAAGTGATATGAGAAGCCTTGACTTCCTGGCTTCTCTTGAATAGTAGTAGATTAGTGGTAGAATCCAGCACTGGCAAGTGAATTGCAACATATTAATAGTATCTCTGTTGGCTTTATAAATATCTTCACCTTATTCAAATGTGTATTTTTAACTGGCTGATCATCAGACTAATGCTTTGGATTTTTGTTTCTCCTATATCTTAAATAGAGGCAAGTGTCAGGTTGAAATTAGCTATGTAGGATCTTTATAGTTGAGTGACAGTCATTAAAAATTCTTAAACGTTTGAATTTTCATTTGCTGTGTTAGTTATCTAGTACCGCTATGACAGAACTATGGCAAGTGGATGGCTTTAACAAACAAATTTATTCTGTCACAATTTTGGAGACTAGAAGTCTGAATACAGAGCACTGGCTTTAGGGGAGGGCTTTCTCTGTCCACTCTGGAGGAGGGTCCTTGTCTCTTCAGCTTCTGCTTCCTGGGTCTTTGGAGAGCTTCTTGAGTCGTAGCATCTATTTTACCCCATCTCTGCTCTGATCACTTGCTTATTTGTTTAATCTCATATCTCAAAAGAGATTGACTCAAGACACACCCTATGCTAATTCTACCACATTAACATAACAAAGACAACCCAGTCTCAAATGGATTATAATCGCATGCATAAAACAAAAAAACCAAACTCACTGCCATTGAGTAGATCTGACTCATAGCAACCCCCATTGGGATTCCAAGGCAGTAAATTTTAACAGATGTAGATTGCCCTATCTTCCCTGGAGTGGCTGGTGGGTTTGAACCACCAGATTTCTGATTAGCAGTCAGATAGATGGCTTAGGCACTACGTCACCAGAGACCTTAATCACAGGCATGTTGTTTTTGTTAGGTGCCATTGAATTGGTTCTGACTCATAGAGACCCTATATACAACAAAACAAAACACTGCCTGGTGCTGTGACAGCCTCACAATACTTGCTGTGCTAGAGCCCAGCATTGTAGGCACTGTGTCAACCCATCCATCTCACTGAGGGCCGTCCCGTTTTTTGTTGACCCTCCACTTTACCCAGCATGATATCCTTCTACAGGGAATGGTCCCTTCTGACAACATGACCAAAGTAGGTTAAATGAAATCTGGCCATTCTTTCTTCCAAGGAGCATTCTGACTGCACTTCTTCCAGGACAGATTTGTTAATTTGTCTGGCGCTCCATGGTACTTCAGTATCATTCGCCAACACCACAACTCAAAAACATCAACTCTTTTTCAGTCTTCCTTATTCATTGTCCAGCTCTCACATGCATATGAGGTGATTAAAAATACCATGGCTTGGGTTAAGCACACCTAGTGTTCAAAGAGACATCTTTGTTCTTCAGCACTTCAAAAAGGTCTTTTGCAGCAAATTTTCCCAGTGCAGTATGTGGTCTGATTTCTTGACTGCTGGTTCCATTGGTGTTGATTGTGGAATCAAGCCATGTGAAATCTTGGACCACTTCAATCTTTTCTCCATTTGTTGTGATGCTGCTTATTGGCTCAATTGTGAGGATTTTAATTTTCTTTATGTTGAGATGTAATCCGTACTGCAGATGGTAGTCTTTAATCTTCATCAGTAAATGCTTCAAGTCATTCTTAACTTTCATCAAGCAAAGTTGTATCATCTGCATATCACAGGTTGTTAAAGAGTCTTCCTCCAATCCTGATGCCACGCTGTTCTTGATATAGTCCAGCTTCTCAGCTTATTTGCTCAGCATAGGATTTACAACATGTATTTTTTGGGGGACATAATTCAGTCCCTAACAGTTGCTTTGTAGTAATTCTTTGCTACTTCAGCAAGCTCTGGCATTAAGCAAAAATGGTATTATTGGAGTTATGTACCTATGTTACAAAAATTTTTCAACTTTGTCAGATGAACAGTGATGATTGTTTGCAAGGACAGTTTTTTCCAAAAGACAAAGTTACGATGTATCAGTATTTGTACAGCAAACATCATCAACTTTGTACAGAGCAGATAAACAGATGAATTTGATTGCTGGCCTTAAGAACTTTGTAGGCTACTAGGAAAGGGAAAGCTAGTAATTTTGATCTCTAGTGAGGGGTAGGTACTTTACTATATTGTTGTTGTTGCGTACCGTCAAGTCTGCTCTAACTCATAGCGACCCTATGTACAACAGAAGAAACATTGCCTGGCCCTGGGCCATTTTCATAATCATTGCTTTGCTTGAGCCTGTCATTGCAGCCACTGGGTCAGTCCATCTCGTTGAGGGCTTTTCCTTTTTTTGCTGACCTGACACCAAACATGATATTCTTCTCCAGGGACTGATCCCTTCTGACAACATGACCAAAGTAGGTGAGATGAAGTCTGGCCATTCTTGCTTTTAAGGAGCATTCTGGCTGTACTTCTTTCAAGACAGATTTGTTAGTTCCGGCAGTCCATGGTATTTTCAGTATTCTTTGCCAACACCACAATTCAAAGGCATCAACTCTTTGGTCTTCCTTATTCATTGTTCAGCTTTCACATGCACAAGAGACTACTGAAAATACCGTGGCTGGGTCAGGCACACCTTAATCTTCAAAAGTGACATCTTTGTTCTTTAACACTTTTAAAAAGATCCTTTATGGCAGATTTGCATAATATAGTACAGTGCCACATTTCTTCACTACTGCTTCCATGGGTCTTGGTTGTGGATCTGAATAAAATGAAAAGTCCCTGACAACTTCAGTCTTTTCTCCATTTCTCACGATGCTGCTTACGGTCTGGTTGTGAGGATTTTTATTTTCTTTATGCTGAGGTGTAATACATACTGAAGTCTATAGTCTTTAACCTTCATCATTAAGTACTTCAAGTCTTCCTCACTTTCAGCAAGCAAAATTGTGTCATCTGCATATTGCAGATTGTTAATAAACCTGACACTAATTCAGATTTTCAGATTATTTGCTCAGCATACAGATTGAATAAGTATGGTGAAAAGATACAACCTTGATGCACACCTTTTTTGATTTTAGACCACATGCAGTATCCCCTTGTTCTTTTCCAACACCTGCTTCTCAGTCTATATATAGATTCCTCATGAGCACAGTGAAATGTTCTGGAATTCCTATTCTTTGCAGTGTTATCCATAATTTGTTATGATCTACACATTAATAACTATATACTATTTACTACATTGATACACATTATATATTAAGGAAGGAGGTTATAGATGCTGTAAGATGCCGTAAGAAAGGTATAACTAGTATTTTCTCTTTGGGCTAAGTATTGCTAGTGTTCATGCTTGTGAAAAGCAAAGTTAGTCCTTTGTTAATGTTTTGACCATTAGAAAATGTAAGAGGAATTCTGCTTTAAGAAAACCCAACAGTGGGGAGTGTACCCAAGACCATGTATAGGGTTGGCAGACAGTGGTCCTATAAGTATGTTTGTATGATCTGTAAGAATTCCCAGTTGTATAGTAGAGCTGGCAAGAGACAAGGTTGTAGTCACTTTATAGTCAACTACCCAGAGGTACCGAGTAGTTGAACTGGTGGGCTCAGGACCATAGTCACAGGGGACATCAAGCTCAATTGGCATAACATACTACACAAAACATTGTTCCACCTCCTACTTTGGTGAGTAGCGACTGGGATCCTAAAAGCTTGCAGGCAGCCATCTAGATGCAACAATGGGTCTCTCCTCGTCCAGAGCAAAGAACAATGAAGAAAACCAAAGATTCATGGAAACAATTAGTCCTGGCGACTGGTACACCATATGATCCACAGCCTATATGACTGAGACCAGAAGACCTAGATGGTGCTGGGCTACCACTGTCAACCACTCAGGGGGGGATCTATGTAGGAGATCCTTGATAGAGAGGGAGAACAATGTGGAACAAAACTCAAAATCATTTGAGGGATAAAGAAAAGGGGGGATGGTGCCAGGTTTGCTGGTCTGATAGAGCCTGGTGAAACCACTGAGACTATGGCCCCTAGCTGCCCTTCAGATCTGGAGTTGAACCCACACCTGTGGCTTCCAGCCAAACAGAAGACAGGCATATGAGATGAACATTTACCTGAGGTAGATACACTCCTTGGAGAGAACAATCATGAGAGAAAGAAGGGCTGTTTATGCACAGGGAGACAGCTCAGGGGGCAGGAGTGCATGGAGGGACGGACACAGGGAAGAGGTAACTATCAGGAGGAAGTGAGAGGAGAGCTGTTGCATTGGGGTAAATTGTCAATGTCATGAGAGACAAAGTGTATGTGAACTGCTGTATGGAAAGTGAATTTGCTCTGTAAATTTTCACCCAAATCACAATTAAAAAAAAAGAAAGAAAACCTAACAATTATTTCCCTAATGATTTGATTTACAGAAAAAATA